CCGATGAAGCCCTTTACTACGGCATCGACGCCCAACTCAGGTCGCCCATGGCGGCGCCACCGTTGGATGGGATCGACGGCTCTATCACCGCAACAATTCGACCGGCGTCTGAAGGCTTGTCTCCCACTTTCACCGCCGCCGAGGTCGACAGATCCATTTGGATAGCGGACGGTGGTCAGATTTCTTGCTACGACTGAAATCTCAGCCACTCATGCACCATTCGGACTCATCTAGATCAAACTGATTCGATTTGCCAAGCCTGCACTCCTAATCTTATACTCACGGATCTCCCATACGTTTCATGCTCAGTACTCACTTATTTAATTAAAGTCATGCAATGATAGTTCTGATGCAGTAGTTAATCCATTTCGTTTTTAGTTTTAATTTCCTTTATTCTCTTACTCAACTTTGTTCCTTTTTCTAACTTCAAAAGAGCGAACAATAAAATTTGCCCGTGCATTATAATCAGCTTTCTATTTCATTTTACCCATTCATAGAATTTGTCTTCATGACTCTTAAATATGATATGATTTTTCTATTTTTTTTCCATATTATGCGGAAAGTATATTAAGATAGTCTTATCAGTTCCAAGCATTTCCATAAAGATTCAGATTTATTAATTTTAAAAAGTAATAGTAGTTATGTTAATGAATAGTGAAAAATGACGTACTAATATGCATACACATTCTATAAAAAATTATTGATAAGCAGAAAAATGACGACACTGTTTCATTCATTATGAACATCTAACCCAGTTAAGTGGCTCGGGAGGCAAATATATATTACTTGTTCTTATCTCCATACACTCTTTATATGTTCACACACAAACAGTTTTTACATGCCATTCTCATAGTTTTTAGTCGCTAATCTCGGCCTTGCAATTGATGTTTTTCCGTCAAGAATGACCACTTCTGAGTACTAATCTTCCATGCACGCACACGCACACACTAATTACTTATAGATTCACGATGAATCAGCATTACCTTGTTTAAAATACGTAGTGATGCTAAAATGAGAACTGGTTCCTTTTGAACATGTAGCAACCACTTTCACATGTTAAAAATATCCTGAGCTAACAAAGTAGCTTGATTTTACACATCTCCGGGTGTTTATAAACCCTAAAAAACACTTAAAATAAATATTTTTATGTAAGTTAAGAAAAAACTCCTCTCATATATTTACTTAAAATTACTTTTAAAAGGCTAATCCTTATGGTGATAAATCAAACACCATTTCGTTTAGACAATAGTCTGGATGACAGCTTCTTGTTATGCTTTTGGCCTTTTGCTAAAAATTTGATTCCTTTCCCAATTTCCTCTCTGTGTGACTCTCACGTGGGGAAGGAGTGGTAATAAGAGATGAATTATTGAAGGAAAAAAACCGCGTGAATCCCAAAACCCTAATTCGGCGTTACGATCCTCTTGTGGTTTGCAACGATTCTGGGCATTCAGTGTGGGAAGGGGGGGCATTTGATTGAGGTTATTAACAGAAATCTGTGTACAATCTCGGTTATACTCTGCTTCTGGATTGGGATCCTTTTTTGGCGACTGGAATTTGAATCCTTGTATTCGAGGAATTAAACACATCTTACCTTTATCCCATCTTCGTTTCTCTATGATGCTTTGCCCAGGTTTGGCCTGTCTCTCTCTCTCTCTCTGTTTTTTTTGGGCAAAACTTAATTCACTAGTGCTTAGTTTACTTTTATTTTCAATCAGATGTTTCTAATTTATTTTACTTGAATTGAACCCTTTATAATCTATGTTATAGGCATCAATCCCTCAGTTAAAAATCACTTTAATGTTGTTAATTTCAATTTATATAATCTCATTCATTTTATGAAATTTCTATGATTTATTTAACACCGTTTTATAGTATTATTGGTATATTTCTATAAATGAAATAATTTCATCAAATATATAAATTAAAATTAACAACTTAAATAATAAGGCGATAATTTTTTAAACAAAAGTTATAAAAACCGATTTAAAATTAAGATATAAGTGGAGTGGTGGACTAGGCTGTTTCAGATGTCCAGAAAAGAACAGAATGGGAGATCTTGTATATCATCAGTCCAGGATTTGGAGATATGTGGGAAGCGTGTCAGCCATAAATGGCCTGGTGGTCTCAGCTCCACCTACAAGATCTCATTTGGAAAGTTTGGCATAGGCGGTCTCCTTGTTTATCTATTCGTCGGTTCAATGACATGGTGCCTCATCTTGTAGAGCAAGAGAATTCGAGTTTCAGAGAAATTCCAAGGCCCTGTGGCAGCTCTAATGTTTGATGTGATCTGTTTGATCTCCTTGGTGAATGACAAACTTGTGCCTGCAAAATCAGATGCATTGAGCATTATCTCGTATGGTTCATTTGCCTTGATGTCGCTGTCCCTGTCAAGGAATTTTGTGCTTGGATTCAAAACTGGCTTCTCCACTTTTTTCCTGTCCTTGTTTGCCACAGAACTTTTAAAAATCAGGTGGATCCTCTTACCCATCGCGTTACTTTTCTGCTCGCTCATCATTATTCTTCACCACTACTCAGAATCCCTTCTGTACAGTTTGGTTCCATCACTCCAAATGGCCATCTTCACCCCCAGCACTGATAGAAATTGGCGATGTGGATGTCTTAATTGGGTTTTGCAGCAAAATATTCAAGCAATTGATCCCTGACGTGAAACGTCAATTGTTACCTGACTAACATGTGTTTTATCCTTGTAGATTTCGGCTTTTGCAGAGCCAAGATTCCCCAGAGATGGGAAAATGGAATATAAGTATTCAGTTTGCCGGTCGATATACCTCTCTAGTCTCCTATTAAATGATTAACGCTTATTATCACTTCCATATATACATACACATCATTCTCCAAGTAATGGACAAGAGCAAAATAACGAAGAAGAGGAAGATCGTTCGTCTTTGCCAGCTGTGGGTGATCAAATCCAATATTAATTAATATTTATTTGGTTGATCAGACATTTCAGTATTGTGTCAATGGCTTTCCATTTTGTTGCAGGAATCATGGGACCAAGATCATGTTTCATCAGGAAACAACACGCTCACAATCCATAACGTCTGGATGCACAGTTCTACCGATCCTGAACTAGTTCAGCAGCGTCACGACGGGCAAAATCAAATTTTTATGGATACCCCAAAATCGAAGAAAACAATCACCAACAGGCAAAGACCATAAAACAGCAGCATTCAACACAAACCAGCAAAAACAAAAGCAAGTGAATTTGGTGAAGTTATTATTATCATTATTATTAATTAATTTAAAAGTTGAAGAGTTTTTTAGGCATAAGATATGATTTACAAGAATGTCTACGTTTTGTGCATGAGTTGTTGGTGGGAGTAATTGAGTAGGAGGAAAATGGACTAATTGGAATGACTGAGTAATTAGAGTAATAGGAGGAGGAGGAGGTGGACAACACGTGGACGAATTTGACGAGGAAAGATAAGTAGGCCATGCGAGCTGGAACAGATGGGAGGATTGCATTAACGAAGTAGAAGGAGAAGAATAAGAAGACTCGAAAGCTTGAAATTAAGTCATAGCAGATAGGGACAAGAGAAGTACGCAAGTACGTGGTAGATTCGATATTCTTTTGTATTATCAATTTAGTGGGTTCCCGATTGAGTTTGTAAATGTTTAGAATATGTATATGTGAATAAATATTGCAATAAGCCAATAAACATACTCATATTTGTGATAAAGTAATTAATAATCTAAATGATTGTGCTTTTATTTTGTTCTTGTGATATAAATTAATGCCAATTGTATATTTGGAAAACTGGGGATAAATTTTTTATGGAGAAATTAATTAGCAAATGGTCCTTATGGACTTTTGTACAACTCAACTTTCATTACATGAAACTTTTTTTTTTTGGTAACCCATCTTTTTTTGTCTGCAATTACCATTTTTTATGCAACTCAACTTCCCTTTGTGTAGCTAAACTTTTTTTTGGTGTGCAAGCTATCTTTTCTATATATAACTTAGTCTTTGTATATATATCCAAATAATGTTTTGTGCAAATCATCTCTTATTTGTGCAACTTAATTTTTTTTTTTGTGCACCTTATATTCCTTTGTGCAATCCATCACTTTAGAAACTGTTTGCCAATTAAATTTCTAATAAATGATTTATTCTCAATTTTCCATGGTATATTCTCTATCCATTGCATGCTGGATTTATGACTCCCGAAATCTTCTACAGCCTTCATGGTCTTCAAGATTTTGCAAGGGTAGTTTTAGACTGCTACAGGGTTGAGCAGTTAACAATGTCCAGTTTGAGTGAACAAAAACAGAGAAGGACCTCAATTGTAACACTAGTTGCGGCCTAACTTTTTTTTTTAGTAGATACACGCATACTTCTGTCAGAAGCAAACCTGTTTAAGGCACTATAATGTGGCCTAACTTCTTGATGATTCTTAGTTTTTTAACAATTACAAGTGGGTTCAAAAACTTTGATTGATTTTCTCTTTGCTTGTACGCTTTGAGCCGAACGTTAATGGTCCATTAACTACAGGAAAAAAAAAACAAAAAGGCCTAAGATACTCTTCTATTATTCTTTTTTTTTTTTCCTTTTTCCTTTTTTTTATTGGGGGGAGTGCATTGGTTCTCTTTCTTCAGGGTGGGCACACATAAGCCCCTACCTGTAATTATGTTTATTACTCGTGCTATCTAATCTATCATTACAAGCCAACGAACAAGACAATGTGAAGATTGAAGAAATTAGTGGATTGTCTGGTTGTGGCCTTTGAGAGGAGTAGTTGAGCCCCTTTGGTTTGGCTTGGTTTGTTTTGTTTTTCCTTTCAAACGCAAGTATGCTTAATATAATAGTGATTTTACATATTTTATTGACAAAGCAAAGAGCCAACGACCAAGTCAGGGTTGTACTTTTGGGCCTCTGCCACCGGAGTCAACAAGTCGATACCTTTACCATTCCTTACTCGGTTTCTCTCCGCGTCAATTCCGAGGCCCTTATTCAGAGTTACGCTCCTCTTGTTGGAAGACGATTCTCTGGGAATGGGCAGTGTGGCGTGGGAGGGAGCGTTTGATTAAGGTTAGTAGTAGGTCTCTTTGATGATTTATTTGTTGGGTCTGGAACAAAAATCCTAGTACAATCTCTGCTATATTAAGATTTCAAAATTCCTGACAAATTAAACACTTCTGATCTCTTCCCCATTTGTTGAGTCTCTGTTAAGCTTTTGTGGTGCCTACACAAGTGTTTAAACGCCAGTGTTTAATTTACTTTATCTTTGAATCAGATCTTTTTAATTTATTTTGTCTGAATTCAATCCTTTGATTTATTATAGGCATCAATCCTCGGGTTAAAAACCATTTTCATATTATGAATTTTAATTTATAGAATTTCATTCACTTTATGAAATTTTTATCATCTTATTTAGCACAGTTGTAGTATTGGTTTATTCCTATAACTGAAATTTCATCAAATTTATAAATTAAAATTAAGAAATCAAATAATGAGGGTCTCATTTTTTTGTTAAATAAATTATGAGCAGGATGAGAGATCTTGTATGCCATCGGGCCATGATTTGGAAATTTGTGGGAAGTGTGTCAGGCATAGCCGGCCTGGTTTGCTTTGGTTTCAGCTCCACCTACAAAATCTCATTTGGAAAGCTTGGTATTGGCGGTCTCCTTCTTTATCTATTCGTCGGGGTAATCATATGGAGCCTCATCTTGTGGGGCAAGAGAATTCGAGTTTCAGAGAAATTCCGAGGCCCTGTGGCAGCTCTAATATTTGATGTGATCTGTTTGATCTCCGCGGTGAATGAAAAACTTCTTCCTGCAAAATCAGATGCTTTGAGCATTATCTCGTATGGTTCATTTGCCTTGATGTCGCTGTCCATGTCAAGGAAGTTTGAGCTCGGATTCGAAACTGGCTTTTCCACCTTTTTCCTGACATTATTTGCCACACAACTATTCAAAATCAACTGGATCCTCTTACCTATTGCATTAGTTTTCTGCTCCCTCATCGTTATTCTTCGCCACTACTCAGAATCTGTAGTACAGGAGGTTGGTCCCATCAGTCCAAGTGACCATCTTCACGTTGATGTTGGTCCTTCAGATGGCAATGAGGTCTTAACAGAGTTTTGCAGCAAAATATTCAAGCAACTGAACCTGTTACTTGAACTAACATGTGTTACATCATTGTGTATTTTCATTTTTGCAGTGGCAAGATTCCTCAGGGGTGGGAGAAGTTTCGGGGCAAAGCCAATTATCACGGCGGGGAGGGGCAAGCACAAAAGCAACTTTTCTTCTTTACCTCTCTCTGAATACACACCAATTACTTTATAATTACAAAGAATCTTGATATTGCTGTGGAGTTTAACTAATAATTTCTTTATTAATTTTTTTTTTTGGTCTAGCTTCTAACTGAATTTTCACTCAGGTTGGCAAAGGTTTGTACAAGAATGAGAAGGCGCAAAGACTAGCCCGGCGACATTGGCTTGAAGCTGTAAGGCCTTGAAGCCTTCTCTGTTCTTATCCATTATTCCAATACGTTAGCCAAGAAGAGTACCCTCTGTGATCTTGAAGCTTTTGAGCAACAGATTTTATCCATATTAAGTGTTGACAATGTTACTTTCTTTTTGTTTCTTGCACAGGTTGACCCATGTCATCGATATGGTCACAATATATTGCTCTATTATAATGTCTGGCACAGAAGCCAAAGCAGCCAACCCTTTTTCTACTGGTAAATACTCGTTTTGACCTTAATGTCTTCACTGTAATTACCATGAAACATGGTAGATGAGGAACTAATAAGGATTTGGATGGCTAACTTCCTGCTTTTATTACATTTAGGTTGGATGTAGGAGAAGGCAAAGAAGTGAATCTTGAGAGATGTCCAAGGAGCAAACTTCAACACCAATGCGTTAAATACCTTGGACCAGTGAGTTCTCACTAATATATATATATATATATATATGTATGTTAAACATACGTTTTAATTAGATATAGATTCATACCCAACAGACTTAGCTATAAAGATTCACTTTTTATTTGGCCTGGGTCTATCTAAAAACTGCTGCTGCTATATCTCATATAGCTGATTGATTGTGGTACCAATGCAGAAAGAAAGGGAAGAATATGAAGTTATTGTTGAAGGGGGCAAGCTAGTGTATAGACAAGATGGTAAGGTTCTCGATACTAGAGATAGGTCCATATGGATATTTGTTCTGAGCCCCACGAGGTCTTTGTATGTGGGGCGAAGGCAGATGGGTTTGTTTCATCACTCTAGCTTCCTGGCTGGAGCAGTGCCCGCAGTAGCAGGGAGATTAGCGGCTCATGAGGGTGTTCTTAAGGTACTAATAATATATATCACACAGCATAATCGCTTTCATTCTATTACTTTTTCTAACTTTCTGGTACTTCCACTTGTAAGTGTTGTTGCATTAAAACATTTCAGGTTATTTGGCTTGATAGCGCATACTACCTCCCTACAGTAGAGAGTTTCAGAGAAGTCATTAGCTTTCTTGAGGAGCACAATTTAGATCCCTCCGCTGTCAAAAAACTTAAGAATTTATAATATAGTAATTCATTAGATTAATAGTTATCATATTGACAATACGCATTATGTGATATCTGACATGAATAAAAAAATTTAATAATTATCTATATGTTGCCTTGTAAACATTGTATAGATTGAATTTTATATTTAAAATTTTCTGAATATTAGTATATATTTCATTGATCAGATTTATTATAATATTTAATTACAATACTTATTTGTAAATAAGCTCTTTGTTAGATAACGTCTCTAGTTTTTAACTCAATCCATTTAATATATTGATTCCAACAAATATTGTACGCATTTGAATGATTGCTTAGTTTTTTATTTTAGTGAAAAAGGTATAAAGATCATTCACACTATGCCACCAGGACTCTCCCAATCCTCCTCAATTCTAGTTATTTATGTCCTTATTTGATAATTTTACATTATTTACAGATGAATATGACACTTATTTCTAAATAAGATGGCCTATCAAATGAAACATTACCGACAATTAATTTCTTTAGTTGAATAACCTTGAATTAATTTAAATATGCTAACTATGCAGACAAATGAGATATTTGATTAAACTTAATAAGAAGTGAATATGCAACAACAACTACAATGTATGCAAAGGAGTTTAAGATGTGGTACCACGAGTCATTATTTGTAAGGTAGATCAATTTTTATTGTTTGTTCATGTCAAATTAATCATGACTTGTTATTAAATTTTTAAAACCTAAACATTACTTATTTTCATTAATAACTTTTTTTTATTAATATAGTACTCCTTCGACCCCAAATATAAGATCCATTTTATCGTGTTAATTATATTTAGGACCAGATGGAGTATTAACCATTGCCATTATTATCATATAATAATTAACACCCATCTGATTAGTTACTAATAATTCATTATTCAAATGATAATCCAATCCAATTATTATTAAAATCATTTTAGGGGATATGTGTGAGGTGAGAGATTGTAAACAAGTTTTTTAAGATAAAGTTCAAGTGCAAGAAACTTATTGAAAATGTTGTTCTTAGTATGATGAATTTTAAAACTTGTTCTAATCTTGAACAATTTTGACTATACCATCTAGGAATATAATTCCCACAATATGGTGTGTGGAGAATTTTTCTGTATTATTTATAGGTTATTAGTAAGAAAACCTTAGCCCGTTTCGGATTAGCTCATACCCACACCACAAGAGGTAAGGCTAGACACAGCTCAGAGCCTCATCTTCATCTTTAAATGAAGAACCAGAAACTTACTCCAACTTCGTAATTTTGCAAGGGCTGATCAACGTTCCTCTACTTTCCAGTTACGAGAAGCTTATTCATATCACTGCTTATAGATTTACAACTACAAATGTCGATGAACTAAATAAATATATGAGTATTTACTCTTTCATGCCTTAAGTCTCAGGTTACGTCATAAATTCATTTTTGCAGGACTGGATAGCGAGAAGACTCTAAAATTCCAGGAAAAAGAAAGGGTTTAAAACAGATTGTGCTAATTGTATTGACTGCCGGGAAAATTTACTTGGTTCAGTAGCAGAAGTAGGATGCTCTCTCTGTGTAACTTAATCATATTTGCTATAACAAATTCTTCTATATGATATATGATAACTCTTGCAGCTGAGATTGAAAATAGACGGCAGATGAGAAAAGCAGATCTGAGGGAAAACGATGAAGGAGACGAAGCCAAAGATTCCAACTCTGTTACATCGTTGGGAACGTTTCGGAAAAAGTCCAACGTTGTCCCACCGTAATTGGTGAACCAACCAGGGGAACGCATCGTTTCGATTCGGAGATGTTAATTCAGAGACCATTATTTCCCAGATTTCCATTTTCCAAGCTGGTCAAAAGCGTTGGACTATCTTCGTGGTGCTCTCTCAATGGATGTGGCAACTACTGCCTCCAGTTATGTGACCTCTCCGGACGACCGTATCAAGCTCAACGTCGGCGGGACGCTCTTCGAGACGACGCTTGCCACCCTTCGTTCCGGTGGTTCGGATTCCCTACTCACGGCTCTCTCCCTCCGTGACACCGGCGATAACCACCCTGTTTTCATTGACCGCGACCCCGAGATCTTCTCCGTCCTCCTGTCCCTCCTCCGAACCAGCAGCTCCCCTCCACCGCTCGTCGTTTCTCCAAGCAAGAGCTCGCCGATGAAGCAATTTACTATGGCATCGACGCCCAACTCAGGTCGGCCATGGCGCCGTCACCATTGGATGGGATCGACGCCTCTAGCACCGCAACAATTCGACCGGCGTCTGAAGGCTTGTCTCCTGCTTTCACCGCCGCCGAGGTCGATGGATCCATTTGGATAGCCCACGGTGGTCAGATTTCTTGCTACGACTGGAATCTCAGCCACTCATGCACCATTCGAACCCATCTAGACGAAATTGATTCGATTTGCCGTGTCTGGCCCGAAATTGCGGCTATAGGGTCAGAATCCAACGCGGGACTGCACTTCTACGATTTCTCCCATGGGCGCAACATCGGGACGGTTCAGTGGACTGATCCTTCTGATCCCTGTATCTTCAAGGCCCGAGTGAACGCAATAGCTGGCTCAGAGAGTTCCATTTTTGCGGCGTTTGATTGCCCGCACAGAGAGAATTGTGTCCTTGAAATAGATAAAACAAAGCTTCAGATCGTGTCTCAGCTCGCTAGACAATCTGGTAATCAGGCTAAGCATACGGTTCCTGGGAAGCTGACGTGGGTACCCCAGAACGGCGTGCTGGTTGGAAGTGCAGTTACGAGCGGGGCTTTTGGATACTCTGGCTACATCAGATTGTGGGACCCTCGTTCCGGCGAGGTGGTGTGGGAGACGAATGAGCCGGGTGCAGGTAGAAGCAGTAGGTTTGGGGATTCGTTTGCGTGCGTGGACGTCGACGTGGAAGGCTTGGCTTTGTTCAAGCTCTGCTCTCAATCGGGGGATTTGGCAATGGCGGACATGCGGCATTTAAAAGAGGATCCGTGGATTTATTTGCAAGAAAAGAACCCAAGCTTGGTGAACACCGGGAGAGTTAGCAGCAGTGTGATTCATTGTTACAGGAAGCAGGTGTTTGTCGGGAGAGAGGGTGATTTAGAGGTTTGGTCCAGGCTCGAAGGGATGAAAAATGGCGCAGAAATAGCTGGTGGAGATGCTGAGGGTTTGTATAGAAGAAATTTCGTGGACAAAATAGAGGATTCAGAGAGGGGGATTATTAAGCAGATCGATGGTGGTGGGAACAGGTTGTTTATTAGCAGAGAAGAGGTTGAAGGTATTGAAGTATGGGAGAGTTCTTGTTCTTCTGGCTCGATTTCAGTTTTGTGATCGAGGAATTGTCATGGATATGAGAATTTGGTCTCAAACCGGCTTTATTTAGTTGAGCGTGGTCAGCCTACTTTACAACAGACCCTTTTGCATTATGCCAGAGACTTTTCCTCCCTGGAAACTGCAATTTTAGGTATGGCTTCGAATTCTATCAGCGTGTCACCGATGATTTTATACTTACAAGATACTTTGTCCCCGATGATATTTGTTTTATATCTCTGCCAATATTTCATAGCCAGCTCCAAACTCGAATAAAGGAAGGAAGACGATTGTATTTAGGCCCAGATAGCAAGCGTAAAGCTTGTGAACGGGACAATTTTTTATGGAACCAGATCTGATCTATTAATTGCTTAAAATGGTACTCTATTTTAGCATAATACAAATGACTTTGTCTACCATTCTAGTTTAGCACACCACTATTTGGAACTGTGAATCAATATGCTAAACTTTAAAACATGAGCATATCATTGGCAGGGAGGGATGACAGGGTTTGTCTTCGTACTACTACTCACCGATTGCTCTCTGAAGTATTATTGAATGACCAGAATCTTTCCTTATTAGAGCTCTGGTAGTTTGGTGCCTACAGTATACAAGCTAAGCTTTCTTGTTATGTAAAGTTCCAGTAACTAGACCTTCTTTCTTCTCCTTTTGAAACTAGGTCGTAGACAAACATTGTTGGAAGAAGTATGCTTTGCAGGTGAACAGATGTTTGGGATCTTAGCTTAACCCGTTCTGCTGCCATTGTACATGCCAAAAAGTTCTTAAGATGCGATCTTGATTAAGTTATTCAAACTCATTGTTTTACTAGGATGGTAGGTAACCAGGATTGAGCTCCTCTAGAGTGCAACTGCTCCTAGAGAGTTTCGTGCATGGTAACTGCTGGTCTAAAAATTAAGGGAGCCGGTTTTCATTCATCTGTTGGTTTATATCAAGCTTCAAGCCATTCCTTCTCTGAAAATTTTCAAGAGTTGATTTCATTATCAGCGGTGATCTACCACGCCCCTTTTTGTTTCCTAGATAACCGGAGGCTAAAACACCGACAGGCAGCATCCTATATTTACTAGCTCAAAGTTCTCTTTTGCTATGTGGTTTCTGACACTTCTGAAAGAAATGTTTGTGGAGACTAAAAAATAGTGCTGAAACTTGTAGAATTGCTATACAAATGCCGAAGTGCAATTTCTCTGAGTGAAGTGAGATCAACGGCAGTGGTATTTTGTATGTTGTTCAGCTCAGGTTGAATGTGCATAGTGATTATAAGGTTATAAGGTCCCGCATTGGTTGGATGCTGGTTATTATGGTGAAGGAATTATGAGATCCGAGGTTAACGAATTTTTGTTGTAAAATGTGTGCATATGGGGATGGTATACCATGTTGTAAGCGACAATGGTCATTCTTATGTAAAACAGTAAAAAATTCGAAGGCTAATATTTAAGAATGTCAAACTTTCCTATGACATTTCCATTGGCAGGCAAGTAAAGCAGTCCTAAGTTCTTGTCATTCCATTGTCAACTTGTAGTGCACAAGCAAGGTCATAATTTAGAAGCAGCGTTCTTATGCCTCAAAGTTTACCAGGTTTTCTGTGCATCTAAGGATTTTTGGAAGAATGTCTGAAATCAACCCTCCTCTCTGAAGTGACAATGAATTTGTAGTGCATAGGCAAGTTTCTACTTGCTCTTTCCTGGAAAAATCATCATTCACCTAATATGAGGCTGGATTTTTCATGAGTCGAAAGTTTGAAATTCAGTTGTGTCAAATCAAGTTGATCTCCAAATGAAATGTTCTAGTTCGGGTAATTATTTCAACTTACTTCTCTTGTTTTGTTTTTACCGTTAGAAAGGCAGATATTAGCCTCTTAATAATACAAGCGAAACCGATTCTACGATTTTCATATTTTGAATTAACTTTTTACAAGTTATTTTCTAGTATACGAAATAAATATGTAAGAAGAACTTTGTGGAAAGCACTTTTTTTAAGCAATTATAGGAAGTTGCCCGTATAGAAATTTTCATAGCGCTACTCCGTAAGGCTATTGTCTGCAATCTGTACTTGCCTTTAAAGTTTTCTATATTGGATTTAGTTGTAATGAATTAATAATTAGTTGGTGTCAAGAATGTACTATGTAAATTTATACATTATATTTTTATATACACAAAAATTTAATAATTTAATTAGATTTTGATGTTTAGAATCTTATTGATACTTTTCCCTTCTTTGGATATCATTCCAAACCATGGTTTTGGAGACAAAACCATGGTTTGGACCAAGTGATATCCAAACAGCCTCAGTTTGGACTGATGAAACCATGGTTTCCTGGAAAGTGACAATTTTTCGCTTCTGGAAAATTAAAAACGAGTCGTTGGGACTGTCAGAGGCTATCAACGGTGTATTTGACAAAAACACCTACAAGAATTATTTCACGCTTCGCCTGTTCGTCCTTGGCCGTCGCTCCTCTGAAGACGCCTCTTCACCCCTGCGTCGGAATATGTGCTAACTTTTAAATGCGTTCATGTATATCTTATATATCTTATACCCCTGCGTCGGTGAGGATATATATAATTGTTAATGAATTGGTTTCTTTATTAATACACATGATAATCAATAAATCAATAAATATACCAAATATTTATTTCTTTGAGGTCTGGGTTCGGCATACCAAATATAGCGCCACTTCAATATATTATAAACAAATTTATTTTTTGAAATTAAATTATATTATAAAATTTATCTTTTATGTAATTATCATATTAACTTATGTCCCTTTTAGTAATTTGTACATATAAAAAGTGCTTCTGATAACAACTATCCAAACACTCTCACTTGTCAGAATCACTTTTTCACAAAATCTATTCTTCATAAAATCTATTCTTCTCAGAATCTATTCTCCAGAAGCTATTCTCCAAACCATGGTTTGGTTTCATCCAAACACTCCCTAAGTCTTTCCATTGCCAAACCATGGTTTGACAAAAAATTTGCCAAACACCCCCATTTTTTGTAAAACCAAGGTTTTGGGCAAAACCTTGGTTTTGCCCAACAAAACCTTGGTTTCAGAGAAGCTGGCGGGGCGTAGCTTCTGAGGCAGCTCACAGAGGGAACAAGGGGGGAGTAGTCATTCAGCCGGGGGTGGTAGTCATTCAGCACGGGGGGTAGTCATTAGCTCAAGGGGTACAATTATTTGGCAAAATAAATCATTTTTCTAAAAACATACTTATTTATTTTATTAATATATATACACACTAATTTCTTATTATTTATATTATTTATGCCATATTTATTATATTGTCAAAATATATATTATTAATAAATTTATTACTTCAAATAAACATATATTATGAAATATATATTATATGTAATTATCATTTAAACTTATGTCCTTTTTAGTAATTTCTACATATCAAAAAGCACTTTTGACAATAATTATCCAAACACTCTCACTTTATCAGAATCACTTTT